ATATTACATAAAAGGTCCACACACCGACGAATCAAAAAATTTATAGTTAGCTTATACTTCGAATGTTTTTATTTCCGTCTTGAAATTGCGTGGTTTCCTACGTTGCTTAATTTCTGGCATAGATGCAACAGTCACAAAAATATAATATTATGTTTGTGCTAGCTTTGTACCCGCAACAAACGACGAATGGTGCAGTAATTTGATGTAGGTTGTATTCTCAATTGTTTCAGTTTTTTTGGGTGAATAACTAATTCTTTGGGGTATGGCTCGAATAAATTATTTGGGTCGAATACAGATTAAGTCACGCACCATTAGCTGTATGTTTATCAGTCTTGAACAAGCAGTTTTTGATAGTTTTGCATTCAATTAGCATAGTTGTAAAAAATCAACAGTGTCCAATCGCCGTCTCATTCACCATTTCATTTTCTACAGTTTACTTATGAAATGTCAGCTAACGAATCAAGGCATTCTATATTTTGTCTTGAATTCACTTGCTCAAATAATTGCAGGTGTGTCGATGGCTGGCAGACTAGAATAAGGAAAAATGTCATCAAACTCACACCTCTATTTAACTTGATATTGAGCATCTACTCAATTTCTTCAACTCGTTGGTTAGTATCTGTGGATTATAATGTATGTCAAGGATTATACAACTACTGTGGTGAAATCAATTGCAATGTGACTTCTGGAAATTGCATTGTTTGTGTGGATCTTGGCAAAAATGATCGTTGTGAATATTTAGGTGAATCCATCTAATTACTTAATATATTATATTAATGTATAATATAGTCATATATTATATTATATAACAACCTGCTGTTAACACATATTTCACCACACAAAATTGATACCTTTGAAGCTGCTGGGTGAAAGGTGAAAAATATTTCTGCATATTTCGAATAGTTTTTAAAAACAGTTCTGACATTAAAATAGCTCGTGAAAACTTGCGCTGGTGATTTAGTATTATATAAGTCTTGTTCACAATGTACCAATCGGTGTGTGGCACTGATTTATAAATTACTTTTAGGCGTAACTAATTTGATTCCAGAAATGAGCACAGCAGCAGATAAAATTGATCTTGAGTTTCAAAATTTATAATCAATTCTCTTGTAACCATTAAAAATTATTCAGTTATTGCCATTCAAAAGTCAGGTATTGACATTATTTCTTCAGATGTTTTAACATTGTTGATTTAGATCGAGGAGCTGACGAGCTGATAGTGATCGGACTTCTGGTTCTAGCTGCTATTCTTAGACTCATTGTAACAATCGGCGTATTGCTCCTGGACTGGTTCTGCAAAATCGAAAAATGTTGCAATTGTTGTAACAACCCGCACACGCAAACATTCATAATTTTATTGGCGGGTGAGTCCAACTATTCTCTCTTTTCAACGTTTTTCCAGAATTCTTCTCATCCCACTTTGTATATGATAATTTCCGAACATTACCACTGGTTGACCACTAGCAAATAAAACTTCACTCATTACGCTTCAAATTAGTGTACAAATAATTTTTTGCCGTAAAATGACGCTAAAACCTATTCCCAATTTAATTACATTGAAAGGGGGTATTACTATTAATACCCATTGTTACGCATTCTGGTTTTGATCAATGGCGGCTTTGTCAGCCATGAATCAACATCTTGATATCGAAGATATTTATGTCTTCGTTTACCTTTCCATCTATCCGACAAGTAGTTACGTAAGTCCACGTCCCTGCTTCAGAGGGGTCGCAACAGCGAGTCATATTACTTTGGCTAAATACGCCCCGTGAATGCAAAATTCGTGTTGTATTTTAATTTATTTCAAATTCTAAATATTCAAAACACGAGAAAATTTTTTTTCAAATCTTTGCTTTCAATATTATTAAAAAATGCATGCAAAAGGATTAAATAAAAATCCACACTAGCGTAATGTGTATGTTGACATATTTCTGTTTATTTAGATGTGATTGATCTTTTGGCTGGCATTATTTACACCGCCTATAACACAAGCTCAAAGCTTGAAGAGTCAATTCCGGGAGAAAGACCATACGGTAGATTCGGTGCTGCATTCTTAGCTACCTGCGTAAACGTAGCGACGATGCAAACAAGAAGAGTTAGGATAAAAACACAAGTCGAGACACCTATCAAGGTAATTGTCCTCGCGATGAAGGCAAAAATCATATAGATGACGAAAACAAGAAGAGTGAGGATAAAAACGGAAGTGTAATAGAATCTGTTGTTCAGAAACGCGCGAAATAAAATATGCGTACATAACGCATAAACTAAATGAAATAACGAAAATTAACGATAACGGATCGAAATTGAACAAATTAGATTTATTCAATAATACTCTGTTGTTATTGAAGTACTTTGTATCTTTCATTAATGATTGAAATTACTCCTTACCGGAAGTATTTCAGTCGATTGAATCATGATTTTTTATTGATTGTACCAATATGTGGCGCGCAATAATTTTTGCAATAATTCCATCTATTTGCCACCGCCTACCTTAAAAAGTTTTTAGGAAAACTTTTCCGTCCACAATCTGCTTCGGGTCATTTCTCTACCTAGCAAAATTTTTTCAAAGAAATGAATCAGCATTCATATCTATATTTGGCTTCTGTTAGCCTTGGTTTAAATATAAGTGGTTAGTAAGACTCCAACTGTTTGTTAATTTTGATTTTCCCATAATAAACAATAACATCTTAGGTTGCAAGGAATCCAACAATACTTGTATAAAACCGAAAACCGAGATATCGTGAGTCAATGAAAACTCCTACTATTCAAAAAATCTATATTTGGCTTCTGTTAGTCTTGGTTTAAATATAACTGGTTAGTAAGAGTCCAAACCTTTTTTACTTTTGCCTTTCCTACATTAAACAATAACATCTTGCGTTTCAAGAAATATAACATACTTGTACGAAACCGGGATATCGTGAGTCCATGAAAACTCATACTATTGAACAAAGCGTAAAATATTTCTCAATTTTTTTCAGTTTCAGCTAAATGAAGACGATGCAATAACTTCAAAACATAAAGTGGTTTCAATGAGTTTTTTCTGGCAGAATCTTAATTTGACAACAATGCATGGTTATATCACAGAACTCGTGCAGTATTTGCATTCGGCAGAAATCTTCGTTCAGCGAAGACAAAGAATTTTATGTGGAAATGTTGTTTAGGTATAAATAACTTGGAAGTGATTGATTTAAATTTCAAGCTAAGCTTGCCGATTGCAACGCGGTATTTAAGCACTTGAGACAAACTAGAACAGTGAAAGGCGATGAGAAAAACTAAATTTAACTTAGTTAGTAAATTTAACTCAAAATATTTAACAAAAATGAATCGAATTTTTTTGTTCATGATTTTATTGCTAAGCTCAAGTAAGTCATTTCTTATGCAGTTTTTTTTCATTATTTTCTTGATCAAGCACTAAAACCTAAATACGTTTCATAACATAAAACAACTCGTAAAAATGTAAGATAACATTACGAATAAATCGAGAAGTTGAATTTTAAAATTTGTTAAAAATGAGCGAAAGACTATGTTAAAGTAATTGTGAATTTATTCTTAAGTTTATTATTTTCAAAGACACTATTGAAGGCAGAAAGTGCAAAGGCATTGAAGTAACACGAGATTTAAGCGGGGACGTGGAATCTCCAACAACTAATTCCGAATGTCTCCCGCGTTGGGCGTATTGTTCTTGGGAGTTTCATTGGGTTCGAGCCAAGCTGTAAGTATAAGTTATTACAGATAATTTTGTAAACATAAACAGTAGTGATGAATACCCCAACAGAAAAAGTTTCTTCTTTTCACCTAAAATTTCTTTTTTCGTGTGTTTCTGAATATTCTCCTGTTATAGTATTCATTTAATCGTTAAATTTTTTTGTATCGGAACCTGTGAAATTGCATGGCTGTACTTTTTACATGCTGAAGTTTTATAATTTTAATTTAACATTGATTGTGATTGTGCGACAAATAATCCGTTTTGGAAGGTGAAACAATTTGCTTCTTGGGATACTATACATATAAATATGTTTTACGAGATACAAGATGTACACGACTTGATAGTGGTAGAGTTAATCGTATTACTATGTTACGCTGGTCTTTTATTACATTTAGGTTGTTGGAAAAGCGATCTCGTCAATTTTAAATCTGTCAACGACAAAATATGTTGGATAACGTACAACTCTGATCTCTGCTTGGACAGAATCAAACAATCAGGATGCGAGACTAGAGATTGGGGCATCAATGTTACTCATACAATGGTTTTGTACAAATGCCAACCAGCAAAAGCCCGATTCAACTTGAGCTACGAATATATCGATTGCATAACAGGTAATATTTTCTAATATAAATTAAATAAGCAAAGTCATTAAACTACTTCGGCCCATGTTATATCAAATCATTATCTTGAATTTTTTTCATACTAGTGACTTTCGAATATCTTGATGTTGACCACAGAACTACCAGAACTTTATTTCTAAATAGCTGGAATATGTGTAATATTTTTCCTAAACCTCTGAAGTTTATATATTGTACAAACAATGTAGGAAATCTGCCGCCAAATAGGCTAGTTATATCGATCGGCATCTGTGGGACTAACTACTTGTCCTTCTTCTATGATTTTCTGGCGGTGGATCTATATGAGTATAACGCTAGAGTGCTGTAGCCAGAGTAAAAATAACCATCCTTGATGATTCGAGAATCTTGTGGTAATTAAAGTCAGACGAAACGTTACAGAAATACATTTGTGTTAGTGTGCAATAAGACTCTTGGATCACAAGACTCTTGGCTTTTGCTTGTATTTAAAATTAAATCTTATTCATTTCAGGAAACAGAATAGAATCCCCGGAAACTACATCGCAACCTACAACCTATCAATCACTACAACCTACAACGCATTCAAAACCAACAACAACAGTCGCTGAAACTACTAGAAATATAAAAACACCATTCAGTCATTATGGTATAACAAACACAGTCAATGAGCCTTCAATTTCTTCGCAAGCAATCGAAGATTATCAGGACGATCCCATTACGATGTCTCCCCAAACAATTGGAATGATTATTGGGATGGTTGTTCTAGCATTCATCCTACAAATTACAGCATGCAAAGCCTATTTTTATTGGAAAAATAGGTGAGCTCGGAGTTACTATTTTTTCCTTATATATTTTTCTCATATATCTCGTTGTGCTATTTCTTGGAACAAAAGTTATTCAACTAATATTTTTCAATTATAGAAATATATGTGTTTGAAATTAGAATCAAAGCTTTCTGATATTAAAAAAAAAAATTACAATCCGCGACTTCTCTTTCACGAGTCACAGTTGAATAAAATATTAATAGTTTCCATATAAGTGATACTCACGCACAGGGTCAAAATATCCATCTTACTATGATCAAACGTACGATATCAATTCAAAATGAACACCAAAATAACTTAGATCCAGATAAGTGATTATAAAACAAATTTTATTCACAATTAAAATTTTATCCTGTGGTTTTATACAAGAAAATAACATTGCATACGTTTCTTCACATTGACTCATAACTATCATTATTTAAATAAAAAAAATTGATCTTCAGAAATCGTCGAACACAAGAGGAAGAGAATCAGATCAATACTTATGCTGTGAACCGCCCGTTACCAGATCCGCCTTCAGCTCTATTGTACGAAGAAGTGAAGAATCCACTGCTTAGAACTGAAGCTGGACCAACACCGCAAATCACGATACCAATGTATAACGCGCGATATATTGAGCACACCAATGCTAACACGTCACGTCCAAGGAATAACCAGGCATCGTCACAACCTGCCATGGCATCATCGAGTCAGGGTGATTATGAGTTCTCGTTTGTAAACGCGCCCGAATCCGAATACATTCCTATGAAAAGTGTACAATTTCGTTCTGCTTTCTAGAATAACCCGATTGGATGATTTGAATCGGAATTGTGTTGTATAGATTATATTTGTCCTTTCTATTGAAGGAGGCCCCAAAGGGAAATTTCATTTCGCGTGCTAAGCGAGTCCGACTGTAATATTTCAATCGGGAATATGTTAACCTATCCTTTTTTTTGACGATGACAAAGTGAGAAAGCACTACTTTATTCAAATCACACAAACGTCCCAAGGACTGTACTATAAACGGCAATTTTTTATGTCATCTATGGGAAACAGTCGAATTTTTTTCAAACGTAAATAAGATCCACGCACGAGTAAAAAACTTATTATTTTTGAAATTAATAATCAAATTTTAAAATTCGGCATCATAAGGATTGGAAGTTATGATTCTGGTATATCTGTCTTAAATTAATATTAATATTTTTGTATGAATATTCGGAATAAAACTGCAGAATAATTTTATTCTTGATTTATATTATAGTATTAGTAAGTTAATTAGTATTTTATATCTTATTGAATAATTTTTAGGATTTCTCATTGTTTGTCGATGACAGCGCTTCCGATTGTTTTACAATTTGCCATAGCAATGTGACGGTGTCCGTATACCATTTTAACCAATACTGTTGGCCAAGCAAACGTAAAATGCAACTAGTTTTTATGGAATTTTTAGGCAAGATTGGTCGAGTTCAGGTGACAGTCTGTCGTTACATCTTGGTAAACAATAGATGGGGATTTACACTACAGCAGGGGTCGTATTACAGTTTATTCATTCACATACAATAAAATTATTCGATCACTTTTAACAGTACTGTTTTTTTTTTTGAAGCGTCATATCCTGGTTCTAGACGAGCATTGTTTTCATATTTAAAAACGTGAAATCTCTTGATATTGAATCAAATGTCAATGAACAGATTTTTTTCTTCAAAAATAATACCATCGACACCACCCAAATAAATATAACTTCATCCAATTTTTTTTTTTTTGCATTTATCTGCTCACAATAAAAGTATTGAATTTATTTATACTTTAGCTCTGTTTCCCGGATTCTGTGATTAAAAATTAGAACGCGCGATTCTCATTTATGTAATCTGAACACTAGTGCGTTTTACACCGTTTTCCAAACGCATGGGATTTTGTTACACCACTTTTATTTATTATTTTATCAGTCACGTTCATTGTATATATTGAATATTATTAATGTTTTCTTATTCGCTCCATTTCAATTATATATCTGTTCCAGTCACAGCATTGATGAGAAATATTATGTTTGAATGAGGTAGGGGTTGGACACTGGCGCAATTTCATAAAACTCAAATAAAATGAATACAATTTTAAATACATAAAATGTTTGTCTCAGAAAAAATAAAAATAAAATTTAATATTCATGCATTCATTTTTATGCTAATATGTCATTTCATTTTTCTATCCTTTCCATTCACCAGAGTATGTGTATCGTGTAAGGTAGAGTGGAGTCACTAGCAGAAATTTTATACATGATCTCATGAAACCCGTCGAATATTCTTAAACTTAAATTCGACAGATAAGAGAGTTAGGGATTTTATATTAATCAAAGTCATTTAATAATATTCAAATTCTGAATGAACATTAATGATCGGAAACTTCCAGTCCTAATATATATCTCTAAAATATTCTCGCATAAAGTATAAGATAAAAGTAGCAATAACATTTGAAAATTGTTTATTTTATCAGTGTGTGTATTATTGTTGTACTTGTGTATATATTTTGAATATAACTACATTGAATAACTTTACTATCGATTAGTATTCTATGGCATATGGGTAATTCTTGGTGTATCTTGTATTGAAATTTAATTCTCTAGCCATATCAGTGATCCAACCTGCATCAAAATATGATGCGCGACTCTTTTCACCCCGAAATATAGGCTTTTGCTTCTATTTACATTCTGTATTCATTTAGGGTATTCATGTATGGTTGAAAAATAAACTATTGGTTATTGAATACTGTTTTGTCGAATAGTAACTATCAGACATTTTTGCTCTAGTCATAAATGTATCTGTGCAATAAAGTGAAATATTTAATATTTTATGCCTTTATAATTTACTCTTTCACATGTAGCAGTCGGATTATATTCGGAGGTGAGGTATAATGAAAATGTAGGTGCATTAATAATTCGTCTAAAAATCAGCATATCCAGCAAAGAGCTCGATTTTGATTCGGCGATTCGTAATTTAAAATCACTTTGATACAGATTCCGTGATAATTCTTTTGCGGTGTATTCATGATTTTTTACAGATTAAATTCAAAGTATTTATTCAAACCATAAATAGAACAAATGGCAAATTATTTCTCTCATACTAAAATTTTGGAAATAAAAACATTAAGGTTTACAGCATTGCAGTTGTGTCGAGTCCAACTTAGGGCAGAAGTGTCGGCGCTCTAGAAGTATATTTTTCAAGATGACGCACAACCTGAGCACTAACTTGGTACACAAACTACAGGGTGTTAAAAAAGCAAAATTTAATCTTCGAAGGTATTATTTACGTTATAAATCAGATTGAACTGACTTTAAATATGAATTACATTATTCGTTTGTGTGTTCCATCTCACTCGTCCTAGAAATATGAAGCGAGAGAGAGAGCGAGAGAGAGAGAGAGAGAGAGCACGTCCAATCGTCAGCTGTAATGGCCAGGTGGTTGAGTAATTGCCTATTAGCCGTAGTTTGAATACAACCTGCTGGTAAAAGATCAAAATTACGTTGCCTTGGGTTTTCCTTTTTTAAACAATCACATCTTACATTGTAAGTAATCCAACAATACTTGTACGAAACCAGGATATCTTGAGTCATTGGAAATTCATACTATTTAAAAAAATTGTGAAAGATTTCTTAATTTTATCAGTTTCAGCTAAATAAAGGCGATGCAATAATTCAATAACATGGAGTAGTTTCAATCAGTTTTTCTGACATAATTATTTTTTTGAACACAGTGCATTGATATATCACAGAACGCTTGCAGCATTTGTATTTGTTGTTCGTAATATTATTGATTTTTTATTTTTTTTTTCCCCTAATTTTCATAATCAAGCACTAAAACTTAAATATGTTTCATAACATAAAGCAGCTCGTAGAAAATTAAGATAACATTACGTTTAAATCGAATAAACATCACGTTTGGTTACAACTTCAGGTTAAATTTTAAAATTTGATAAAAATGAGCCAAAAACTTTTTTGAAATAATTGTAAATTTATATTTTGTTTATTATTTTCTCAGATACTCTTGAAGACAGAAAGTGCAAAGGCATTGAAGTAACACGAGATTTCATCGCTGGCGTGGAATTTCCAACAACTAATTCTGAATGTCTCCGGGGCTGGGTTCACGGTTCCTGGGAGTTTTATTTCCCAACCGATCTACACCATCCCATGTTTCGAATGACTTCCACAACCAATTTTGTTCACACTGAGATAAATCTTCTACAGATGGGTGGTGGGTCTACGCAAAGCTGTAAGTTCTGACAGATATGTTTATATACATTAAACAACTAAAAAAGTTATCTTTGCATCAACATTCTTGCGCGTGTCTTATTCACAATGTCCACTTTGATATACCAGAACCTGTGATATTGCATGTCTTTTTCACGTTCTGAAGCTTTATATTTTAACACTGTTTCTATATATGTACCAATTAATACGTTTTTGGGAGGCAATACAAGGTTATTGGGATTAATTCACAAATATTCCAGAACCTAAATACGAGGGACAAGTTACTTGTTCAGGTTATAGTAAAATGTGATAAAGTGATTTGTATTACAATGTTATGCTTGTCTTTTATAACGTCAAGGTTGTTAGAGAAGCGATTACATCGATTTTAAATCAGTCAACGACGAAGTATGTTGGATAACGTACAACTCTGAAATCTGCTTGGACAGAATCAAACAATCAGGATGCGAGACTAGAGATTGGGGCATTAATGTTACTCGTACAATGGTTTTGTACAAATGCGAACCAGCAAAAGTCCGATTCAACTTGAGCTACGAATATATCGATTGCATAACAGGTATTATTTCTCTCATATAATTTAAATAGGCGACGTCGTTAAACCCCTGTGATACCATTCGTTGTATTGCATTGTTGTTTACGTTTTCTTGTCGCTTCAATTTTTTTCATACTAGTGACTTTCGAATATTTTGCTGTATAACACAGAACTACCAGAACTTTGTTTCTAAATAGCTCGAATATGTTTGATATTTTTTTCCTAAATCTCTGAAGATAGATTATATATGGCAAATTCAAATAAATATCGTCTCCTCATATATTGCCGATTCGTACTGATATAAAAAAAAGATCTAGTACAGTGATTCTCAAATAGTAGGGCGCCGCCCACGCGGGAGACTTTGAAAAAATTTTGAGAAGGAGTGAAGCTAATTAATAATAAAAATATTTGTTAGATTTTATTTTGCCCGCCTTATTTTAGATATTTATATTTCTTTATTGTTTATAGATTGCAATTACATCCACGTATTTTCGAATAAAACATACTTTCGCCTTACTATATGTTATTTGTAGCTTATTGTTATCTAGTTATTTTGAGGTGGAGAGCGAGACCTAACAAATTCTAAATAGAATGCGCGGCTTAAAAATTTCGAGAACCACTGATTTAGTAGGTAGTTTTTGAAATAATTGTTTTAAATCAGCCACCAATTATGATTGTTATATCGATTGGTTTCTGCGGGACTAACATATTATCCTTCTTCTATGCTTTTGTGTCGGTGGATCCATATGCGTATATTGCAAGAGTGCTGTAGCTCGAGTGAAAATACCTATCCTAATTTCGTTGAAAATTTCTGCACACAAAGTCAAAGGAAAAGTTACAAAATTATATTTGTGTTAGTGTGCAGTAAGAGTCTTGAATCACATTGAATGCCTTTTGCTTGTTATTCTAAATAAAATTTTATTCATTTTAGGAAACAGAATAGAATCCTCGGAAACTACATCGCAACCAAAACCTATCCACCACTAACAACAACAGTCGCTGAAACTACTAAAAATATAAAAGCACCATTCAGTCATTATGGCATAACAAACACAGTCACTGAGACTACATC